AAAGCACAGCTTCTGGGCCTGCAGAGATGGCTCAGCTCTGGCAGGGGACCCACACTGGTCCCCCACAACTGCCTGGAACTCCAGTGCCCCAGGGAACCCACACTGGTCCCCCACAACTGCCTGGAACTCCAGTGCCCCAGAGGACCCACACTGGTCCCCGACAACTGCCTGGAACTCCAGTGCCCCAGGGAACCCACACTGGTCCCCGACAACTGCCTGGAACTCCAGTGCCACAGAGGCCCCACACTGGTCCCCCACAACTGCCTGGAACTCCAGTGCCAGGGGATCTGACACCTCTTTGGGCTTCCACGAGTACCCGCGCTAACATGCAAATACCACACACACACACATACAAAATAAAGTAAAATAATAGCCAGGTGTGGGGGTGCACACTGATGTCGGCATTCTCAGCCCCACGGGAGGTGTCTCCTACACTACCCCTAACTGGGGGGCTTTTTTTTTATTAAAAAGGGGGTGGCTATTTTCATGCAATATCTGCTGGGAATCTCCATGTTATTTCCCTGTGATAAGGTCCTCCATGGTGGCTTCTTCTTTCGAAATATTGTGGCCTGCATAAGAAAGTCCTGAACAATTCTCTTCCCCTTCTGGGTTTCTTTTCAATCACTCCAGATCTTCACAGGAAGGAAATTAGTACACTATGAGATGGCAATCCTACCATTATTAAGCTTTATTTTATTTTATTTTAGTGGCAGGGTCTCTTACATGGCTGTCCTGAAGCTCATTATGTAGACCAGGCTGGCCTCAAACTCACAGGGACTCACCTGCCTCTGCCTCCCAAGAGCTGGGACTCAAGGCTTGTGCCACTGTGCTCAGCTGCGTACCTTTATTATTATTACTTTTTTAAAAGCTTGCTCCTCAGGGGCTGGAGAGTTGGCTCTATGGCTAAGAATGTCTATTCCTGTGAAGAACTGAGGTTTGATTCCTAGCACCCACATGGAGGCTCACCAGTTCCTCAGGCACCAGGCCTGCATGTGGGGCCCATACATGCGTGCAGACAAAGCACTCAGAGGAATAAAATAAATCTAAAACAAAGCCTGATCCTCAGGAACCAAGGCCCCTCACTCCCCAACAACTAAGGTAACTCCTGATCGTTAAGTCTGCTGATTCCTATTGACTCAACTTCAGGACGTATTCTCCATTAATGGGGAAAAAATCTGATCTCCAATTTTTTGTTTGTTTGTTTTGGTTTTTAGAGACAAGGTGTTATTGTGTAGCTCTGGCTGTCCTGGAACTCACTTTGTAGACCAGGCTGGCCTCGAACTCACAGAGCTCTACCTGCCTCTGCCTTCTGAGTGTGTGCACATGTCAGTATCTGAGTGGAACTGGAGAACACCGTGCAGCACTGATTCTCTCTTTCACCATCCAGGTCCCAGGGATTGGCCGCAGCCAGTACCTTTACCCAACGGAGCCATCTCATTGGCCCCACCATGATTTTGGCAAACGGCTTTGGAATTGAATCTATGGATCATGCAGAATTGGTTCGTGTCTATTATTGTCTAGGGAGTGAGCCTATTAACCTTTGGATATTTTATATTGAGATGCTCTCTTAATTTTGTCTCCTGTCCTATCTTCAGATGATTCTATGAGGTCTAACTCCATCCAACCGTTTCCTTTGGTCTGACTCCAAGGCCCGAAGGTCACTGTGAATGGAACCCCCACGTCAACTGTAAGGAGTCAGATCAGTCGACACCTAAACCTAGATACATAAATACTAAAATCTATGTGGTCTGAGGTTCTCAGTTCTCGATGTGGGAATCAGGCAGGCTTAGGGGTCACTGAAGACAGACCCCTCCTTCATAACCAGCTTTACATCCTTAACATTTAAAATGCCACATGAAGGAGCAAAGTGGAGAGAGAAGCGTGCTGTTCTGGCCCATTAAAGGAAGCTGCTTACTCCTGGTTAGAACAGAATCTGGATTCGTTCTGAACAGCCCAAAACACTATACTTCTGTTGTCCCCTCCCTTTAGAGTCCATCCAAGGGCAGTAGTGGCACACGCCTTTAATCCCAGCACCCCGGAGGTAGAGGCAGGCAGAGTTTGAGTTTGAGGCCAGCCTGGTCTACGGAGGGAGTTCCAGGGCTGCACAGAGAAACCTTGTCTTAGGGGCAGGGAGAAGAGTCCATCCAACTAGACGAGCTAGTCTAAGAGCCCATTGCTCCAGAATGCTGACTCACCTCAAGACGTGCCCGACAGGAGTCAAGGTCATCCTCTTTCCAGGCCAGAAGCCCCTCCCTAGGTGCAGCTGTGGGCAGATCTTCACTGCTGAACCGGCCACTTTTCAGAATTCTCATTCAAAAGTGAAACATTTCCTCCCCTCCCCTCCCCGGGTATCCGGCAAAAATCCAGAGCACACTTGTCCCAACACTCAAGACACTCTCCTGAATTTGCAGCTGCTTATTGATCTACGTTGCTCAACCTGCTTTCTCTCCACCCTATTTCAAAAAGCCTGGCTTTCTCTTCCACCAACCCTCTTCTTGCCAAGACTTACAACTTGACTGCTCTATGATTTTTCTCTGACTCTAACAAAATGGTATTCAAGCTTCAAGATTCCATAGAGTACAATACTAACACCTTACCTGAAGCCATGACACACAGGGGCTTGGAACCAACTGTTTAGGAGGCAACCTCAGTTAACACTGCTAGGGAGGGCGATAGAGGAACTAGGCCTTCAATCAGGTACCTGGACTTTGAAAGATCCAACTCTCTCCTAAGAGGAAGCTTTCACAAGGTACAATAGATATTTGTGGGAATGAGTAAATCAGCAGCGCCCCCCCACCACCACCATGTCCTTCTCCCATTTAAACTACACCTCCCATGAGCTCTGTGAAGCAGGAATGCCCCAGCCAGGTAGTAGCATCCAACAGCCTATGGTGCTACTGGGAAATGTAGTTTTGTTTCTGGTTTCTCCATGTCGCGTTAAGGGGGATCTTAAAGATCAAGGAGTTTAGGGGAGGGAGTGAACGGGTGTTCATTTGGAATCTATCTTAATTCCATATACCGATGGCCGGGGTCCCGGGTCTGCTTGTGTGATTCACCAACACACTACTGCAAAGGAAGGCAGGTAAACCGGAAGCCGCAGCGTGTTAAACCGGGTCCCTGGAGTTTTCACCAGGGCCTTGGGGACAGCGGGAACTGCACCACTGCAAACCCGCCAGAGCGCAGGGCAGGGCTACTCACCGGGCTCTCAGTGGCCTGGCTGTCCTCCTGATGGGGCGCCGCGCGGTCCAGGGGCACGGCCAGCACAGCGGACAGCATCAGGAGAGGAGCTAGGAGAAGGAAAGGGGTCCCGCGGGGCGCGGAGGCAGGCATCGCGGCTGCTCTGCGAGGAGAGGTGGAGAATGGGTTTTTGTCGTTTTGCTCCGGCTTTTTGAGACGAGTGTTAAGTAGCAAAGGCTGGGTTTGAATTCCTGATCCTCCTGCCTATACCCCCTCCGCACCCCCCTCCCCCAGCGACTTGTAGGCTCGCATTACTACCCGACCTAAGGATGTTCTAACCCCTTATCCGGCTGGGCAAACGAGTGCACGCCATCCTCAGTGCCATTCCCATTTGCAAAAATGAAGTCTCCACGCGTTTCGTCACCTGCAACCCGGGATGCCAGGCCTCCAGCCTCCCTTTCCTACAGCGCAGTCCGCAGACCTTCATCCTGTCTCCCTCAAAGTAGGGAATCCTTCCCCAAACCGAGATGCTAGGCCTCCTAGACTCCCCTTCTCACGGGACCACAGGGACCTGAAACGCTGCAAGTACCCGGATCTCCAGTCCCCTGGCCTCCGCTATCCAATGCCCCTCACCTCTCCTAGCGCAGAGGGCGTTTTCCCACGCTAGGACCTCTGCCGGGTTTCTGATGATTTCCCTCCTAAGTCACTCCCACTTTTCCACCCGCGGACGACCTGCCCCCAGGATGCTAATTGGTCCACGCTGGCTACAAGCTTCCGCCCGCGTTTGCGGCCCCGCCCATTTCCGATGAGGTTCCCTTACTTTCGAAATTTTTGACGCTTTCTTGGAAGCTCACATTCTTAAACGTGACGTTTCCTGCGTCGCTTTCACATAAAAGTCAAAGTCCTACATGAGGGTGGGGTGGGGAGGGCAACTTTTGCGGACACCTTGCCGCTGTGTCTCCTGGGAATTGTAGTCTTCTCATTTATTTTCGCTCCACAGGTTCCTGTAAGTCAGAGCTTTGGTGATAACCAACTGCATAGGATACTATCACTACTTTTTAGAACGATCTCATTATGTAGCCCTAGTTGGAACTGTATGTAGAGCAGACTGGCCTCGAGATCACAGAGATCCTCCTGCCTCTGACTCACAAGTGCTGAGATTAAAATACCCCACTCCCAGCTCCCTCTCCCACTTTTTCCCCCTGAGAAATGGCTTTATGCATCCCAAGCTGACCTGGAAGACATAGGAATGCTTGTAGAGGAGGAATGTTTCGATTCCCGGCACCTTGTCTGCACCTCCCAAGTGCTGGAATTACAGGCATGAGCCACTAGGCTTATAAATTTCTTTAATGCTCTGTATGTAGAACTATATTGCTAGGTAGATACTCTTGGGTCCCTTTAAGGAATGTTGGCTTGCAGTTCCAATTCAGAACCCCCAGAACAAGGGATCAGTCTGCTTCAGTGGCCTGGAGGCATTACTCTGTTGGACATGGACCTTGAGGGGCCAAGAGGGCCAAGAAGAGGGCAAGTCCCTGTGGGAACACCC